TCCTTCTGTTGCTGGAACATTATCCCTAGGGGCATTTCAGTTTCTCACTACACCCAGCAACTGCCTTGAGTGAAGCAGAATCAGTACTTCACAGGAGAATGATCTGGGGGAACTGCCCAGCAGTTCTATCAGGGCACACCCACTCTGAGGTTTCTCTCCATATTCAAAAAGTCTGCCAGTGATGGTATGATCTCAGCCTATATTCATAAAAGGCATAAGGAATGTCACTTTCTATATGTAAAAGCATGACATTTGATTCATTTGTTTGTTTGAGATAGGGTGTTACTATGAAGCCCTGGCTGGCCTGGAACTCACTATGTAGACCAGGCTAGCCTTAAACTCACAGGGATCAACCTGCTTCTGCATTTTTTTCCCCACTTTATTGAATTTATGTGTATTGCATACAGAACATCTTAATCACCTTCATACCTCCTTCCCCACTGGTACCCTCCCATAACCCCCCCACTGGTACCCTCCCATAGCCCCCCCACTGGAGTTCATACATTCTGTTATTTGTGTTAAGGCCTATTGTGTCAAGTTAGTGTCCCCAAATGTCCCTGAGTACAAGTTCATCCACTGAGGTCTAGTCAGCCTATCTAGAGTCCCTCCCTTTAAGAAGATCAGCTCTTCCTCACCCAGCACTAATCAACTGCCAATAGTTCTTTGGCTAAGATTGGGGCCTGCTGCCCATTTCCACAGTTCTATGCTGAGTTTTATTCTGCTTGGGTTTGTGTGGGTCTTATACATGCTGACACCATTCCTGTAGTTTCCTATGAGCAAGGTCTCAGGAGCCTGTAAGACTCAGTTTCAATATGGTCATGTACTTCCTCCCCTGAATACCTAGATCTTTATTTTTCCTTGATTGACTCTTGTGGAATTAAAGATATTAAAATAGTAGCTGCTTTGGTTAATGTATTGTTATTCTTTTATTATATGAATGTATTTAAGAAAACACCCGAGTTTTACCACTGGATCTTCATTCTTCATTCTTTTCCTGGTTGATGATTGAGACTCTTTAGAATAGTTTATGTTCCTCCCAAATCCTTTAACACCTGTGAACTTCACCTCTTATTTGTTTTCCTGATAAGGAGCGAAATGCTTAACTATTGAACTATTGGCTACTTCTTCAGTTTGGAGTGATTTCAGTTAGGAAGCTGTACAGATCGGATGAGAGGAACTACCTTCCTAGTTTTTCTGAGTCCTGTCTTTCATGATAGTTTCTTTTTTTTTACAATTTGATTGGACTTTCTGAGCTTTGGAAATGTGCTTGTAGTAGCAATTATAAATGTAATTGTAATACTGAATTCTAATATGAAGGAGATGTGGAAGCCCTTAAATGCAGTTATTTGAGAGCTTAATATGCTATGCTAATAACATAGGCAAAAGTAGAAAATGTGAATACCATGTGTTATGTATGTGGAAATGTTTATCTTATCATGTCCTAGACAAAACCTTTATTAAATGTCATGGCTATAATTTGTAGTTAATGTAACCAAGTGTTTTGCTTCTTCATATTTAGGAAATAATAAAGTTCTGGCTATCAAAAGGTGTTGATGGTTTTAGTTTTGATGCTGTTAAATTTCTCCTGGAAGCGAAGGATCTAAGAAATGAAATCCAAGTAAACAAGTCCCAGGCTCCGGTAAAGTCTTATTTTAAACTTTTTTCCTTTGAATTTTCTGAAAATATTATCAATGTTTTCTTTTAAATTTTTAAAATTTTTAAAATTATTTTTTAATTATGTGCAAGTCTATATGTCTGTGCAGTATGTGCATGTGATGCAGGTGCCCACAGAGGCTAGGCTCAGAGGGTGTTGGATTCTCTGGAGCTGGAGTGATAGGTGATTGTGAGCCACCTGATGTGGGTGCTGGGTCCTCTGTAAGAGCAGTAAGTTCTCTTAACCACTGAGCTCTCTCTCCAGACCAGTGTTTTCTGTTTTAGCCTGCAATACCAATTTCAAAGACACTGTCCTGCCTGTATGAAGTACTTTGAGTCATTTTCTGATGCGTGTGTTCTTTTCAGAGCAAGGGATCCCTTGAGGAATCCTTCCTCAATGAGGGTCTGGGGACACAGTATGGACTGACATAGGTCTACTGAGTGAAAAACACTGAGATTTTATCATTTCATATAGGTTCAAGGGTGGCGGTCTCAATTTCCTGGCACTTTTTGAGTTATTCAAAGGACACAGATGGAGGGGAAGGGAATGAACACTGTTACCAGGTTTCATTTAAGTCTCTCAACATCCTGTGAGAGAGGCTTCATAATCTCCATTTAGTGAGTTTTAGAGAACTTTAACTTAGTGAGAATTATAGAGGTTGGTGATAGAATCCCAAAGCAAGCATATCCCACTGCGTATATATAATCTGGGTTCTTTGGGGCTTTCCACTGCTGACTCACCCTGGAGGATGCCCATGACAGAAGGAGTTTGGGTGATACCTTATTTCTCTGGCTGACCGTTCTATAGCAGCCTCGTTTCTATGCTCAAGCAGACAGTAGTCCTAAACATATTCCAGAATGTTGGATTTATATTATATATTCACACAATAGAATGTTAATCAAAATAAACAAATTACAGTGACATGCAGCTGTCTAGGTGAATCTTAGCAATGCATTGTGTGGTGGGAAAAAATATAAAATAATTTTGTAATGAAGCTGAATGAGTGAACACCATATGGATATTTTATTATTAAGCTTCTGGCTTTTGTCCTGAGCACATTCATTCATTATTAGCATTTCATTAAATAAATCAAATAAATCAACTACCTACATAATTACCTAACTTAACTATCTACCTATCTAGCCAACTAACTAAAAAGAAGTTGGCCATGCACAGGTCAATTACAAGAAGATATCATGAACCTTAGGTTATGATTAAGCTTTTTTTTTGCTCATGACTTTTGATAAAATTGAAAAATGACAAAAAGTTGTGGTGCTAACTAGTTTTCTCAAAACTGCTGTTTAGAGAGGAAATCTTGAGGTAACCCTGCCGATTGCAAGGTGATGTGACAAGGCGTGTGTCTGCAATGCTACTCCAGAGCTAAAAATGTGCAAACTAAAGCACAACACATATAGATTTAAAATAAACTAGGCCGGGTGTGGTGGCACACGCCTTTACTCCCCGCACTCAGGAGGCAGAGGCATGTGGATCTCTGTGAGTGCCAGGCCAGCCTGGTCTACATAGTGAGTTCCAGGCCAGCTGGGGCTACAGGAGACCCTGTCTCAAAAAGATAAATAAATAAATAAAATAAAATGAAAAAAAAAAAAAAAAAAAAAAAAAAAAAAGGGCAATTTCAGAAAAAACACCCAGGATTGAAGACAAAAAGCATCCCTCCCCCCAGTTCAAACCCTTTATTTTCATGGCTGAAGATCACCTATGGAAAGAGACTTCTCTGAACAGACAGCACGTCACATCTCATCCCAGGACCTTGGCTTGTTTGAGATACATTCTTTTGAGTGATCTAATCCCTGGAAGTGTAGGAATGACTATCAGGAAAATTAACAAACCCCAAGAAAGTATAACAGTTACAATGAAAGGTAGAGATGGCAAAGAAGTATTTCAATGTGCGACGTTGATGTTTTTGTGAGCAGATAAAGTATAAATGTGTAATGGGCTCAATAATCATCAAGAGGGCCTGAAGCATTTAGAGGATTATTTTTTGAAGTACTGGGTTACATAGATTTCTAATTAATGTTTTGACATTTAGTAAAATTTAGTTTGCTAAAATGGGTGATAGAGAAATGTATATTGTTTACTAGGCTGAAAAAATTATCAATTTAAGTATTCATTACAGTGCCAAGGGTTGTGAGTATTCTGTCTACATCCCTGCACACCGAAGATTCTAGGACCATCTTTGAGCCTCTTTCTTGCTTAGCTCAAGCCCTTTGATGAGATAGTCTGTATTCACATAGAGCAACTGTGGCTGTGTGACATGTGAATAGTACTAACCCTGCTGTCCTGGTTCCTAAAGGACACGGTTACCAACTACTCAGAGCTGTACCATGACTTCACCACCACACAAATGGGAATGCATGACATCGTCCGGGACTTCCGGCAGGCCATGAACCAGTACAGCAGGGAGCCTGGCAGATACAGGTAACAGCAGGACGTACCGGGCATCATCCCTCGCAACTAGACATACTTAGAGGCCCAACTTACAATCTAACAAGACTGAATAATTATAATTTTATTATTAGTGTGTGTTTGCATCGTGTGCGTATGATATGTGGGCATGCATACCACAGCACACTTACAGATGTCAGAGGACAACTGTTTGGAGCTCTGTTGACTCCTACCATAGTGTTGGTTTCAGGGATTGAACACCAGTCAAAGCTTGTGTGGCAAGTGCCTTTACCCACTGAGTTATGTTGTTGGCTCCCTTCTTTAAAAAAAAAGCATGTTTTTTTGAAACAAAGTCTTATCATGTAGCCCTGGCTGATCTGGAATTCACTATGTAGACCAGGCTGGCCTCATACTCACAGAGAGTCACCTGTCTCTACCTCCTGAATACTGGGACTAAAGTCATGTGCCACCACATTCCACCTACTTTAAAAATTAAAAAAAAAATTAACTTGCATAATTACAATTTACAACTTGGTTATAACAGGGTGTGGAACAGACTCCCATGTTGCTTATCTTTGCTAATTTTGTTTCCTCTTTTATAGAATGTTGAAAATGAAATTAATTATATGAAGAATATTAGTTGCATATTGACTATGAGCTGTTATTTTTATCACTATTATTGAGCATATATTTCTTAAATAGTATGAATCAAAATGTTCCAACCGAAGAGTTAATAGATGCCAATGGTTAGGTGCAGGTGAGGAATCAAGGGGGCCTGAGATGGAGTCCTGCTCTGTATGTAGCTTGGGGACTTTGGGATTGTCAATGAACATAAATTGATTTTTCTCATCATTTAAAAAGATAATAACTTTTCTAAGGCTATTGTGAGATTTGATGAAATAATGTATGCAAATCATTTAAAATAATGACTGGTGGGACTGGAGAGATGACTCAGCAGTTAAGATCACTGGCTGCTCTTGCAGAAGACCTGGATTTGAATCCTGGCACCTGCAAGGTGGCTAATGACTGTCTGCAACTCCAGGTCCAGGGGATCCAATGCCCTCTTCTGACATCCACGGGCATCGCATGACATGGGTGCACTTACATACATGCAGGCAATACACTCATACATATAAAAATAAAAATTAAGGGCTGGAGAGATGGCTCAGCAGTTAAGAACACTGGTTGTTCTTGCAGAAGACCTGGGTTTGAATCCCAGCACCCACATGGCAGCTAACAACTGTCCGTAACTCCAGTTCCAGGGGATCCGATAGCCTCTTCTGTCCTCCACTGGCATTGCATGACATGGGTGCACTTACTACATGCATGCATAACACTCATATACATAAAATAAAAATAATAAATTTTTTTAAAAATTAAAAAAATAGCAACATATATAACAGACACTATAAAATTTATGTTAACCCCTCCTATTCTGAAAAACCTAAAGATTTTGGAACATTTCAGATTTCTGATCTTGGATCAGGCTCTCAGCCAAGAAAATTTTATGAAAATATTCCCCCCAAATGTCAATAGCTACAAAATTTGAAGTATGCCTTGTCATAAGAAGTCTGGTAAAAGATGCTCACCCTGTATGACTGTTTATATGGGTCATCCAGTAGAACCAATAGAAAAGCAGCTAAAGAATGCCCCCTCTCTGGAGTAGGCTCTCAGAAGACAGAGGCTCTGAGCATGCAGGGAGTGGGCCCACACCGGGGGCAAAGATGGGATGGGAATGGAGAGTTAGGCTTGAGACTGTGCACTTACCTGTTAACGTGTCTTCTCAACCAGCCAACAGCAGCATTGATGGGGCCATTTCAGGTAGGTGAGTGTATGGCTTTCAGAATGCATATCCATAATAAGGGAAAAACCTCTCACTTTATCTAGACTTAAGTCCCAAATGGATTGATGAAAACTCCTAGAGAAGATCTTGAAGCTGTTACAGAGTTTTAGTCAGCTGGAGAAAGCACAGAATAGATAGATTTGATAGAGAACCAAATGTGTTTCCTAATTCTTGGGTATTACTTAAAGCTTTGGGCTTGTTATATTGAAAAATCATTCAGGTGACCAAGAGTGTTATTTCTTGGCCCTGTGGCTGAAGAGCCTGATCCAGTGTGGGTCGGGCCCCACATTTTATTATTAAGCTAGAAACAGCTGCAGAGTTGTTCTCAATCTTTTGTCACCCACTGAAGGCAACAAAATCTGCTAACTCTTACAGGTTCATGGGGACTGAAGCCTTTGCAGAAAGCATCGACAGAACCATGATGTACTATGGGTTGCCGTTCATCCAAGAAGCTGATTTTCCTTTCAACAATTACCTTACCACACTAAACACTCTTTCTGGGAACACTGTGTATGAAGTTATCATGTCCTGGATGGAAAACATGCCAGAAGGAAGATGGCCCAATTGGATGGTAAGCACTCATGCACAGCATAGCACACAGCAAGCTGTCACACTTGCTGGACCCTCTAAAGTGAGGTGAATCTTTGTCCCTAAGTGACCTTAACCCAGTGATTGTTACTAGTCAGCCATGTCCGAGCTTCTGGCCAGGCTCTTATCATTAAGGGGAAGACATTATCAACTCAAATAAATACTTAATGAGTATTTACGCTTAGAAGTCCATTAGGCTTACTTGGGATGGCTATCAAACCATATTTCCTCCCCATGTTCTCCAGAGTTGATGATCTCAGTTAGAAGATAGATTTCAGATGTGGCAGGCTTCTACAAGTCAGGGAGTCTTTCTGTGGGGCAGAGCATGGTGCAAGAAGCATTTAAATCACAGAGATTCTGGGAGGAAGAATCTCCCCACCTTCTCCATACAGTTGGCTGCTCCTAGGCTACAAAGCAACACAACATGTCACTGTACTGAGTACTGGAGGCAGCTGCAACACTGGTGAGTGCCTGTATATCTACACAAAAAAGGCACAGTACAAATAGGACATAAAAGGAAAAAAATGGTAGACCTGTATAGAGTGCTTACTTCAAATGGAGCCTGCAGGTGCAGAAGGTCCTCCAGGGATCAGTGCATGGAAGTCAGCGTGAAGGCTTGGGGCATCACTGTCCACTACGGCAGCCTTTAGAAACATGGTACTTTTCCACTACACTACATTTATTAAAAATTTCTCTCTTCGGCTGGGTGTGGTGCACGCCTTTAGTCCCAACACTGGGGAGGCAGAGACAGGCAGACCTCTGTGAGTTCAAGGCCAGCCTGGTCTACATAGTGAGTTCCAGGCCAGCTGGGGCTACAGGGAGACCCTGTCTCAAAAAGACCACACACATACAAAAATTCTTTCTTCAATTATAAATTAATTTTAGCTTACTATATTCTTTATTAGTAGCTTAAAACTTTTTTTTTTTTTTTTGGTCTTTTTCCACCTGTCTCTGCCTCCCTAGTGCTGGGATTAAAGGCATGCGCCACCATACCCAGCAACATCATTTTTCAAACAAACATTTGGTGGTAGCTTTAGGTTTTTCTTAATCTCACCAACATTTTTATTGACTTTCTCCATATTTGTTATGGATGATATTTTTGTTTCTTTGCATGTTTTCTTTTCTTTTTTTCTTATTGCTGTGGAGATCTGGATGTTTTGGGTAATAAAATTGGGTAATCTAGAAATCATATCTTCCTTCCCCAGTGTTTGTTGTTAACTTTTTCCTTTAGTGACTTTTTCTTAGGTAAATTCTGTAAAGTCTGTATTCTTTGTTTTGTGTGGCCAGAGAAGTCTCTGCTTTATTTGTTAACAATTGGAGTCTTTAGACATCTTGAAGTGATGAGTCTCTCTACCATGCCAAAGGGGTCTGCCTGTGCCAGGGCATGCTTTCAACACTTTGGCAGTCAGCTACAACCCTGCCTTAGTCTTCCCTCTCTGCTTGCACAGAACCTAGGTGAGGTGAGCCTTAGCCAGAAGTAAAAAGAGGGCATTCTCAGATCTTCCCTAGACATCTGTATGTAGCCCTTATCACGCTACACAGCCTTGGTACTTAAGTAGACCTTTTTAGATTTCCAGAATGACACTGGAACTTTTGAAAGCTCTTTGCGGGCATCTCACTCCCCAGCCTAATTCTTTTGCTCAGCCATTGTTAGCTGCAGTTTGTATGATCCCACTGCCATAGGCAGGTGAAATGTTTTGAGCAAATGTTAAGGGATAAGGCTCTTGTTTACAGGGTCAACTCTGAGTCAGAAAAGATAAAGCAACTGAAAGTGAGCTGTGGATGCAGCCTTAGTTGAACTTTAAATCCATTTAGCCTTTCTAATGGTTGTTAGGTTTCTGTTTCTTAAGCTACTGTTTGAGGTTGTTGAAGCTATCCTGGGACTTGAAGAAAGGGACATGAAATTAGGGAAGTTAGTAAACAACAAATACAAAGCTGTTTTAGTTGAATAAATTCATTTTGGATTGCTACTGCTTTAGTTAATTTTGTTTTGTTTTGTTTTGGAGACATGGTCTCCCTGTAGCCCTAGCTAGCCTGGAATTCACTTTGTAGACCAGAGATCCACCTGCCAGAGTGCTGGGATCAAAGGTGTGCACCACCACGTTTGAGACCTTTAGTTAATTTTAAGAGTTCTGAAAAATATGGAGTTTTAATTTTTACCAACATTTTCTTTATATTTCATATATTTTAAAAAATTGACTTGGTACTCAAGAGGCAGAGGCAGGCAGATCTCTGCATTCAAGGCCTGCCTAGTCTACATAGTGAGTTCAGGCAGGTTAGGGCTACAGGTACGGTGGTGAATGCCTTTAATCCCAGCACTTGGCAGGTAGAGGAGGCAGATCTCTGTGAGTTCAAGGCCAGGCTGATCTACATAGCAAGTTCCAGGCCAGCTGGGGCTACAGGGATACCTTGTCTCAAAAAGAACAAAAATAATAAATAAATAAATAAATAAATAAATAAATAAATAAATAAATAATTAAAGTTGACTTGGGGCTTAAGATACGGCTCAGCAGTTAAGAGCACTGACTGTTCTTGCAGAGGACTCGGGTTTAGTTCCCAGCACCATTATGGTGGCTAACAAC